TTAAGCGATCAGGGTAGTAGAAATTATCAACCAACGATGAATATCGTGGCTATTGTCAGAATTTTTGCTCCCTATGATCTTAGAACTTCTGGCCTTTAGGGACCGTTAGAAAACTATCGGACTCGCGGCTGACACACCTTTTACGGGCATTCATCGTGTTACTACGGAGCGATGGATAAATAGGAAATGATTATACCTATGAGCATTAATTGCTCGCCGCATTACTTAGTTGATACCTTCTCGTCTTTTTGAGCGTCGCGAAGGACCTCTTGCATGCGAGAATACAACTTTCTATCTACCCCTTGCTTATCAAACACTACCCTTCGCAACCTATTAACCCAAGGTATCAAAGGCTTATAATATGGCTTAAAGTTTTCAGTAAGTATCTCGATGAAGTCTTGCTCGTCCGTAACGGTACCTCTTTTCAATGTTGCCAATTCGCTTATGCCAACGACATTTCACTTGTCAAATTCGGGAATGGATCTTTCCTTATTCAGACCATTATAATGTATGTATATCCAGAATAGCACCCAGAAGAAGGATTCGAGGTCGTGCTTGAAAGAATGTTGACGATCTTTAAGCATCCTAATCGCTATAAAAGCCCTCGTACTGGTCTTTCCCTTCGTGCCTGAAGCATCTTCTTGCTGTACTTTGATGGTAAGGTTGAGATTGATCAAGAATCTTGAAGGGTTGCTACCATCTTTATTGATTATGATATTGTTGATTGATATGTTTCTGTGGAGGATGCCGGCCTTGAGCAATAACTTATATCCTTGTATGTAGCTTTTAAATGCAGTAAGGAGGGCCATACATGAGCTAGTTTCGTAAATGTTTTGTCCGTAGTCACGAACAATAACACGTCGATGGATGCGATTCGGCGGTGAACTGGGGTGGATAGGGTCTCTTTTTACCGGAGATTCCGAGCGGGATCGCTTGCTTGCTGGCAGAGGCGCGCCAATTTGGCTAGATGACCTCTTGCTGCCCTGGGAAATCTGGGACGCGCGAGGCGTATTCAAACTCTGCACCTTGTAGTTGGAGGCTTTGGTAATGTCCAATCCTTTTCGGATGTCAAGTTGGATGTTATTGACACTATTATTAATGTGGATGGTCTTGTGGTAGTAGTACTGGGCGACGTTATAAACATCTTTTTCGGTTGCCTCGTGTAATAATTTTCCCTCTATTTCCCGTTCGGGGAATTGCCATGAATCTTTGATTATAAGTATCGTAGATGGGTCCTTTTTTAGGTCAGCCTTTTAGTATATGGTAGCCTGGCCTATGATGCAAGATAATTATTCTATAAATTTATTAATTATGATGTGTTCTGGTGTTCTGTTCCGGATAATCTTAATATATTGTCTGTTATTGAATGAAATAAAGATTGGGTTAAATCTTAAATCTTTTTCGTTTATCTATAAAAAGCTGAATATTATTAATATAAATTGTAATCTATTTTTATTAATATTGAATTGTGTTAAGGCAATTCCGTTAAAATAATTAAACTCCCATATGTGTATGAGAGACCTGTAGAGAATAAAAGCTAAGACAAAGTGTCTGGTATTTTATGTGGTAAATACCTCCTTCATGTATTTCTCGATGTCGAATCATGTGCCAGTTTGATAATCATCTTTTAAATTACTTTTCAGTTCCCCAGGGATAAGAACCTAAGATTAATGTAATAATGTTTTGAAAAAGGTTATAATATTAATATCTAACTTATGTACTATCATTAAACCTTTAATCAGCTTGTTTGGTTCTGTTATTAGCATTTGTTTTGGCGTTAATCTATGATCTGGAGTCTACAATATGAATTGTTGCATTATTTTCTCAAGCCAGCTTAGGATGGGGCCCTGGTTGGGAGTGCTCGGCCATCCCGTCCATCCTTTACGAAACCATGGGTTTGATCCCTTGTAGCACCTCTCTAAGATGGCTTGGGATGTGCTTTCTAGGTGCGGAATCTTACCGAAGAAAGCATTGTGGAACCTTGGAATATCAACGTACATCTATTCGAGCTCCTCCTTCAGCACGGGATCGGTATCGACACGGCGTTCCGAAGAATTTACGAGGCTGCCCATATTACGGGACGATGGGGTCTGCTTGAGGTGGGAGGCAATCGGTCGGGGGGGCGGCGTGGATTCGGTAACAGCATAATAAACTCGTACCCAGATTTTCTCGTCGGGTTCCTTAGCAATAACTGCTCGCAAAAGAGGTTTGACGCGGTCGTAGTCGAAGTCACCGGACGTAACGGTTGAAGCATATCTTAGTAGATGGCTTAGCAAATTGGAACTTCCGAACCGAAGTAAACGAGGCAACCGCAGCTGTTGCAGTGCTAAAAAGAGGTCGATGGTGATGTTTTGGAACCCTAAGTGATAATTAGGAGAAAATACTGCATTAAAGTGAAGCTATTTTACCTTCATTGTTAAGTTGACCAAAGGCCTCTCCGGAGCAAAGGATGCC